TTGTTTTTACTCACGATCTTTACAACACGCATTACATTATGTATTTCATGGCACACTCGTTTTATGCGTATTTGGCGCCGCCTATTGTTGTGGGTGTATTATTGACATGTCAAAGTCTAGACCCTGAATATAAGACGACCGCGTTTTTTTCAGATGTATTTCCAAGAAAAAAACATCGTCTTATATTCGGGTCAATACGGTATATTATATTTCTTTTTTATTTAGTACTAACCTGAATAAGATATTTCACATAAAAGACATTTACATATAGTCCACAAGAGTTAAACTGTGCGCCTTTCTTCGGAAAAATCCTTCAGGTCCCACAAATTATTTTGGGTATTTGAACTATGGATGTCCACGATTAACCAGCGATCGATTAATTGTCAATAAATCTTTAATTTGAACGACGATTGATTATGGGAATGATCTAAAATTGACATCCCTAATTTGAACCCTTTCCAAAAATGACTATGCTTTTGAGATCCATCTTTTCACACTGAGGACAACTGAGGGACTTGCATGCAACTATTACAAAAAGTTCAAACTCTCACTGATGCTCCAAAAGGGAAAACAATGCATTAAGGTGAGAACTTATTTAGTCTTCTGGGAAACATGTATGTATCTTCTGTAGCTTCTGAAGGGCAGTACTAAATGAACAAATATGATATTAAGGCAAAATTTAAAAAAAATGTGCACATCTTCAATCTGTTCAAAAGTTTACACCCCTGGCTCTTAAAGGGGTCATCTGATGCGATTTCATTTTTTCCTTTCTCTTTAGAGTGTTACAAGCTCTTGGTGCATAAATAATGTTCTTTTTAGCAGCATCATATGACCCCTTTAATGCATCGTTTTTCCTTCTGGAGCATCAGTGAGTGTTTGAACATTTTGTAATAGTTGCGTATGAGTCCCTCAGTTGTCCTCAGTGTGAAAAGATGTGAAAAAATATTTTTGCAGTGTTGAAATATGGGGCCATATGATGAAAAATCAAGGATTTTTTTTTAAGTTTGATATTATCCTTTGAACATTTTATGCACTTTTCTTTTTTCTTATAAGCCCTAAAGCAGTTCATGTTTGTTCCAGTACCGTTTCATTTTCATTTTAAGTAAAGAAAAGGTTTATTAATGAATTAATTGAAAGTCTGACACATGCGGAAAGACACATATTTGCAGTTAGATCTGGATGTGCACCCATATGTTCAGAAAAGCTGCTCTGGTTTAAAGTCAACAGTAATTAAGGCAGGAGGCTTTATGACGAGAAAAAAAAAAACAGCAGCCTGCTGAACAATGGACCCAGAGGAACAAATCTCATGCCATTCAGCCTTACTAACAGCTATCCCTGTGTGTTTGTATTTAATGTGATCTTAAATTAAAGTCAGTCACAATCACAAAATCACACAACAGTGATGTGAACTATAATCGTGCTTAATATACTTATTCTTTCAGGTTATGTACAAAGAGAAAGACTCCGATTCGGAGGCACAGGTGAATGTGGTTAAAGGCAACCTGACAAAGTCTGTCTTACTGAGGAACCTGCGTAAATACGTCCAGTATGAAATCCAAGTTTTGGCTTTCACACGAATTGGAGATGGGCAGCTCAGCAGCCCCCCAGTCTTGGAGAGGACCAAGGATGATGGTGAGCAACCTTTCATGTTTCACCACTGAGATTCAATTTAATGACCACACAGGGAGTTTAAAGGAATACTTCTCCAAAAATTCTGTCATTATTTACCCACTTTCATGTCATTCCAAAACTGTATGCTCTTTTTTTGGGGGGACATAAAATAATTTTTAATGCAGCTCATCAACAACATTCATAGTCACCTCATCTGTTCATCAGGCTGCAAAAAAACCCACCAGAGACCATCTTAAAAGAAGTAATCAACTTTTGTGCAATATTTAAAGTCTTCGGATGCCACACAAAAGCTTTGTGTGAGGAAAAGATTGAAATATAAATCTTTATTATCTGATAATCTTTTTCCTCAGTGACTTGTAAAAAATACTTGAGTGAGTTATGAGTTGAACTTGAGGATCAAAATCATTGAATACATTTTGACCCTGTTCTTTTCAATAAAAGCCAGTTGGTTCACAAATTGGGCTGATTCATTCACAAATACAGGTACAACTGTCAGCATTTCTCAGGAAATTGCTGGGGAAGATTATTAATGACTTAAATTGGGTTTGTTCCTCATTTAAATAGTGTGGCCTCAGAAGACTTGTAAGGTGTTTTTTGTGCGTGTATAATTTGTGTAGCTAAAACATCACTGAACTGTCATTGTTGTTTTAACTGTCATGAGGTGTTTGTGTTGCACATCATAGAAGACAATGTTAGCATCCGATAATTTTAACTGAGAAAACTGGTTAATTTTAAGCTTTTTTGCGCTATTTTCATCTTCCGGGTTTAAAATCTACATTGTGTTGACGTCACAATTTGTGACGTGGCAATGCACTATAGTACATCGATGACGCGTCGGTGTCTATTAAATTATTCATGAGAGTGCGTGTTCTTATCCTATGAGAAGATGCTTCGCTTAATTATTCACAACAGCATGTGTTGATTTGCTATGACAGGCGTTTCAGACTGTGAGATGACACATTTTTGCACATTAACTGAGAAACGTTCATGGATCGAAGAAGAGTGTTTGTTTTTGCTTTATAATAAGAGTTCGGCACAAACGCGATTCATTCACTTGGTGAGCATAACCGCTTTTACAGCTCTGTGACACAACCCGTCAAAAGGCTTATATAAACGCCACAGAATAAGCCTTCTCTTAAGTTCTCCGAGGTGCAACAGCGCGTTCATATATATGTTTTCGATGCAGAGTGCAAATGGCTGTGCATTTATTTGTGTTTTTAACTCGATGGGAGCGAAATGAAACTGTCTGAATGCGTAGCTGTGTGTGTTGTCTGTCTCCCCTCTCCCCCCTCCTCCGCTCCGCTGCAAACCACGCCCACTTTTTTTAGCATTTTTTTAAAACTGTGGTGAGAACTAACCAGCGCTGAAACGGGGGGTTTCATGACCCTTTAAGAATATTCCAAATACGGTATTTATTTTTTGTTCCAAGAGAGACCCGTGAGGATGAATAATGACCAAATTTTCATTTTTGGGTGAAGTATCCCTTTAATGCTGTAACTCTGTTTTATGTGCACGCTCCTTGACCAAGCAGTGTAAGTTTATGGGCTGTCATGAGTAATGGGCATTTGCTCTGCGCACGAAGAGTGCGCAGTGTGGCCTTGGAATTTATAGAATAAAAAAGATGAAATGGCATTTAGTCTTAAGCTCTTTCAGACACTTTTTTGAAGGTCCTCTATAGCCTTTGATGCTTCATTTGTTTTTAGTGTACATTCTGTGCCTTTGTGTTCGCTTAGTTGATTCGCTCACTGTCTTTTTTTAAGACTAGATTTAGTATAGACAGGTAAACCAATACAGACAGCACAAACTCCATTGGTAAGGATGGCCTCCAAATGTTTACTTTATGGACTGCAACTTAAATAGACTTTGAAGGGCTGGCTGAGGAATTTGAGGAATGAAAGCTTTCAGAAGAGAGGTATGATAGTTTGCTATCCATTACAGCAGTGATTCACTCCGGTCAGGATTAAAGACAGATAACAGTTGGAACTAATGCACTCTTATATGATTGCTATACAGCCAACAGGGCCATAAGGGACAGACTACAGCAGAAATATGTTTTGGGGAAATGGCACAAATAAGGCCCCCCTCAAGGCTGTTCCAGAGAAACAACTGATATACTCAGTGTACCGTGAGATTTGTCAGATAAAGCAATATAGAGTGCTCATATGAAGTGCTGAATTGTAATTTATCTCATGTTCAAAGCTGATTTCATTCATTCAAGCATGTTATACTTGGAAAAGTAATATTAAATATAAACCATCTGCCATGAGTTCTTTACTTAGAAATTATTTGGTTATCTAGATATCTCAATGGAAAAGGAGGAAATTAATGGAAATAAAATATTTTATTGAACTAGACTGTAAACCACACATACAAGACTAAGACTAAGGGCAATCAAATGTAATAGACATTTGAAAAACATAATTCAAATTCAGATTACAATCCGGTGAAAATTGAGCTTTGAACTGGGTTTGAATCTTTAGAGTAAGTAACTGTCCCAGTGGCCTTTACCAATCCTTTTTTTTAGTTTATTCTTTGGTTTGGTGTTTGGTTTGGTTTAGTTTAGTTTAGTTTAGTTTAGTTTAGTTTAGTTTAGTTCTATCTATCTATCTATCTATCTATCTATCTCAAGGTGTATATGCTGTAAATATATTAGTCTGGATATGTTCGCATGTCTGGACTCTGGATCATGTAATTTGTGTATATGGTACTGTTAATGTAAATATTATAAGTCATAAGCTAAAACTACACTATTACTGAATCACATATGTCACATTGTGCAGTTTAGCTTGCTTCACAAACCCAAAATCTTATCACAAGAGAGGACGTCATGGGGATAGCAATAAAAGCCTTTTCCCCCAGCTTGTGAGAGCTATTTAAAGCAGCCCACTATGTGAAATACAGGGGTCAGCCCTTAATCCAGCCGGCTACAGAGTCACATTAATGGAGTCTGCACGCCCGCGGTCAGCTCTGTGCTGCTCTCTGAATAAGAGATAACAGGACTCCGTTAACGTGGCTGTAAATGGAGCTTCCCCTTGACAGATGCAGAGAGCTCGGGCCATTTCACCGCCGCACTTTTATGATGGAAGCGCAGGGCCCGGGCAGCATGTCCTCCCGTCTGTGCTCACTCGACCTTGGAGCAATTATCTGTGTGTTTGCCTTTTAAATTCCCCTCCAGAACAGACCTCATTAAGGACTGATGGTACAGCAGCATTTTATCCAGGCCCCGGACGCCGTACGCAGGGGGTTGGAGATGCTACGGTCCGTCCATCCTGTTTCGGCCGGACGCGAGTGATCATTCTGGCTTTTGTCTGTAAACCTAAACATCCTGTGATTGGATTTAATCAGAGCCGTATCAGCAAAGCAAGCAGCAAATTGGACGTTTCTTTTTTGCACTGCGATTAGATTAGCGTGCCTTAAAGTCGTTAGCGTTCGCACATCTCTGAAAAGATTGGCAGGAAAGTGTGTTTATTAGTGGCTCGCTTAAAGAAGTAATTAATAAACGGATTTTCTAATTGTAGGTTCACGCCGAGTAAATGCACTCGAGTCATGAGTCGTGCATCATAAGTAGTTAAAAGACTCCTCATGTGCGTGTAATCTCCATATAAGCCTCGTGGCACGCGGAGGGCTGATAACAGGATGATGAATGTTAGCAATACATTGGCAAGAGAAAGAGGCATCTTGGGAAAAGCACGCTCTACTGTAAGAGCTTCTTCTTGTGGACATGTGTCCCTACGGTCCCACACACAATGACTGCAAAAAGCAATACAAATCAAATCGCTGTCAGATGTGTTAGATTTATAAGTTCCATAATGTCCAGGAAATGAAACATAGAATCCGCCTAACCGACCGTATCGACTCGGGGAATCCAGAGAGAAATAAGGAAGCGGCCGAGAGACGGCACAACGTTGATTGTGTTTGTTCCGCATTTGTACAGCACGGCGTTTCGCGTACAACACAGCAGCGGTGTCGTTTCCTGCTTATGTGTGTGTACCTCAGGCACAGCACCGGCCCACCACCGTTATTGGATTCCCTCAATGTTATCTGTCGCTCCACAGGTGTCCTGTTAGTGGATGTATAGGCCTGTCACAGATGCCTTGGAGAGAGGGGAAAGTGTGTATGTTTAGAGGTGAGACGCACCAGCAGGGGAAGGAAACATCCCCCTTAATCAAGGCCTTTAGCAGAGCCCTCTTTTAGCACCGGTGGCACACTGTGTCCTTCAGAGTAGGGCGCTACAGTCATTACATCCTCCAGTCATCATTGGTTTCCTCCTGTAGGCAGCAGATCGCCCCTTGGCAATGTTTCCCTTCAGTCTTAACATACAATGATAAGAGCTCTGCTCATCTAGTGAAGCATGTGACTCAGTGATGGCCCACTTTAGGAGGGGTAGAGTGAGAAGGTGTGACATGTGGCAGCACTCATGGACCAGCATGGATCTAAATACTCTGGTCAAGGACAAGCTGACAAAGTCTGAGGGGAGAATGACCAGATTTCGCAGCTCGCTGGCCAACAGCTAATCATTAGTACTGTTTGCTAGAGCAGATTTGAATTAACAAACCACACACACTGAGGAGACTTTGGCATGTAACTCATGAATATGAATTATACTTCAAATTGCATGGCTTGTAGAGTCATTTCTAGAGTCCAGAACTGCTCAGAGCAACTTAGCAACCACATGGCAACACCCTGGAAACCACCCAAAAAATCCTAGCAATCATATTCTGTAGTAATGTGCTAAAATCCACTTAGAACATCTCAAGAAATGGCATAGCAACACCCTAGCAACCACCCACAACTCCCTAGCAACCACATTCTGTAGTAATGTGCTAACAACCACTTAGAATATCTCAAGAAATGGCATAGCAACAGTTTGGCAACCACCCATAACACTGTAACATTGTGTTAACAACCTCTCAAAACACTTTTGCAACCTCATAGCAACAACTTGACAACCATCCACAATACCCTAGCAACCACATTCTGTAGTAATGTGCTAACAACCACTTGGAACATCTCAAGAAATGACATATAATAGCAAAAATCTGGCAACCACCCATAACACTGTAACATTGTGTTAACAACCTCTCAGAACACATTTGCAACCGCAAAGCAACACCTTGACAACCACTTTCCACCAACATTCTAGCAAATTCCTGGCAAACACCCACAATATCCTAGCAACTACATTCTGTAGCAACATGCTGACAACCACTCAGAACTTCTTAGCAGCCACATAGCAACACCCTGACAACCACCTAAAACACCCATGTAACCTCTCAGAATACAGTGGCAACATACAACCACTAATGCAACACTCTTAATTATTCATTCAGACTTCACATTATTTTTATAGTAAGGTGGATCAGAGAACAATATTTCTGTGCACAGATGGATGGAACATGAGCGTTCACTCTTACAGATGGAAACAGCTGCCTTTTCCACTGACGAGATGTAATCTGGAATATGTTCATTAAACTGACACAGTTTGAGTGCTGTCATAACTGTCTCTTTCTTCTCATCCCTTATGTTTTTGTCTTATGAATGTTACATTTTTTTGTTGTTGTCCTTTTCAAACCAGATTTTTTTATAATGACCTTATCCTGACGTAAATACCATTTCAGAGGCTGTCTCGTAGGGCTGCTGCTGCTGCTTTGAAAGCTAAATAGCCTCTATTAAAGCTCTCTGATTTGGGCTTGTGGTTCGGCTGTAATTCAAGAGAAAGCTTTAGAGTTCCATAAGGTGTATAGGTGTTGTAATTACTGCAGGAGTCATGTAATGATAAAATCTCATCTTTGGCCTCTCCTTTTCCCCTTCAATAGTTCCCGGACCACCTATGAGACTTGTGTTCCCGGAGGTGCGTCTGACAGAAGTGAGGGTGGTCTGGCAGCCCCCTGTGGACCCCAATGGCATAATTATGGGTAAGAGAAATAAAAGGTCAATTCCTTAAATTATACACTGAAGAAATTAAATGTAGAACAAATTGAGATTTTACCTTTTTTCACAACATATTGTTATCGTATTATTACACTTCTGGGTAACACTTTATTTTAAGAACCAATTCTCACTATTACCTAGTTTCTTATTAGCATGCATATTCCTAGCATATTAGTTGTTTATTAGTACTAATAAAGCACATATTAATACCTTATTCTGTATGACCATATTTTAGATCCCTTAATCCACCCAATACCTAAACCTAACAACTTACTAACTATTAATAAGCAGCAAATTAGGAGTTTGTTCAGGAATAGTGAATATGTGTTCCCTATTTTAAAGTGTTACCCACTACTGTTCTGGTGTCAGTAATGTTGTTTTCTTGAAAATTAGCAGCACAACTGTTTTCAACATTGATAATAATAAGAAATATTTCTTGAACAGCAAATCAGCATATTAAAATAATTTCTAAAGGATCATGTGACATTGAAGACTGGAGTAATGACATGATGATTTTCATATTTCACAATATTACTGTTTTTACTGTATTTTGATAAAATAAATGATAAAAAACATGGAAAAAAGTTTCTTTAAACACACATTGTCACAAATAAACAGTAATTAGACTTTAGTTTAAAGTTTAAATTAAATTTTCACCAAATTATTTGCAGCCATTTTTAAAACTTATTTCTGGACAGGCATAATAATGTACGATTCTGTGAGCAAATAATCCAAGACCACTCACCTAGGAAGTGACTTGTCAGACTAATTTAGTCCAAGATTCAGACTGATCCTATGTATGTATTCAGTCTGATTTGACTGATTCAGTTGAATAATTCATTGTGCTGTTTTTGTGCATTTTTTTAATATATTGCCATTCTTCTCGTGAGAATGGTCACGGCTGACCCATGTAGCCTGGATTCAAGTGGAAAGCTGCTTTCATGTACTTCACCTCACATTAAAAACAGTCTCCTCAGTACTTGATCTGGCCTACATGAGAGCGTGAAATGCATTGGACTGGCAGTATCTGGCTCAGAGCAGAGCCCGTTTCTTTCCTCCGCTCTGTGAATGAAGCCATGTCACCGTGCACCTGAGACTAATTCCTCATACGGGAAGAAGGAGCCGGAGAGGAGAAAATCCCTGCGTTTTAATGAGATTAGTCTGACTAACACCTCAAGTGAATGAAGCTCAGAATAGCCGCCTGCCAAATCATGCTGCCTGTGCAAATCACACCGGAGAAGAATACACGCAATCTCAGCGATGCAAAGATTAGATCTGAACACATTTGTTGATAGAATCCTATTCACGAAGCATTAATTTTGAATAAAATGAGACCAGTTTAAGCATTTTGATGATGTTTGGGGAAAATTGAGACTTTGTTATGGTGTGTATACTGTAGAAAAATAAAACTGAAAGCATATGCACGATTCATTTTAGTCTGGAATGTGGCACAGCATGACTGTTTACCCAGAAGTCTTATAAATCCCTGTTGGAAAATGCAGTTTAAGTTAAGATGCTATAGCTGTGTTTTCTGGAACATGGGAGCTGGTTTCTAGCTGCTCTAAGCCGGTCATTAGCTGGTCATTAGCTGTTGTCCCCCAAAAAATGTAAACAGTGTCTCTGTGGTGCTATCAAAACATTGCTCTGTTTGTTGGAAAATATCGTCCATCATATCTGACCAACAAAAGATCATTATTTGGTGATGTTAATGGCAAAACTTTAGCTTGTCATATGTAAGTTAACATATCAGTTATCTTAAAAGTTTTTGGGGAAAAAATTGTCTTGCATAGTTTTTAGTGTATTTTGCTGGAAAAAAAGAACACAGAACAGAACATGGCGATTGCAACTGCCAAGCTCCAAAAGTACGATAAAAGTGATGATTTGTGTGTAGTTTTCAAGTCTTCTGAATTAGGGCTGCACGAGAAATCGCATGCGATATTTAACGCGCATCTTGTCAGAAAGCCGGTTCTGTAATCAGCGGTAAGGTGATGGAGATTTACAGCTGATTACAGAACCGGCTTTCTGACAAGATGCACGTTAAATATCGCATGCGATTTATCGTGCAGCCCTATTCTGAATTTATCTGCTTGCTTTGTGTGCAAATCGAGTCCAAAATTTCAGTCATATTCACTCAAAATAATACATCTCACATGTTCTCACATCTCTTGTCAGCGCAGTATATTTAAATGTTTGTAAGTGAAGTGTGGAAGTCTCTCTACAATGTGCCACTCACTTTGAGAACCATTCGCCTACCATCTTGCACCAGCTAATGCAAGTTTAGACCATTTAGAAACCAGCTACCATGTTCCATAAAAAAAACAGCCACCAGCTTATGCTGGATTTCCAGCAGTGTCTTTTGTTTACAGCAAAGCCTAAATGTAATCCCGTTTTCAAAGCCGCTGAAAACTGTGTTGTGTGTTCCCAGAAGCGTCAGCAAACCTGACCGTTAAAGTCCGTGGCTGGGAATGGGAGTTTGCTTTGGATTTTGCAGCAGATCGAATAGTTGCGCTTAATCTGACTCCAGCCGCTTCACTCAAACACAAAAAACAGAAGGGTCTGACAGAGGAACTGCGCAGAAAATGACATGCTAAATCAAACCGGAGCTCAGACGTGTGTAGTGAACATAAGCTAAATAGATGTAAAGGCAGGTGCAGCCCCCTCCAGCGGAACCTGGATAATAACATCAACACCGCAGCGCTCCCAGACGAACATGCCACACGCATGGTGTTATTTCGTTATTTCGCGTTTCCATGTCATACTTTGGCAGATCAAGAGATGCTGGTTATGTAGATTGAAGTCACAGAGAGAGCTCTTTCAAAGAGAGAAACGAGATTTCCCGGCATGCCGCTAATTTGCTGCATCTTGAAGAAAGGAAATGCTTTGAAAGCAGATGTCGATGAGAATGCCGCTTACTGAGATTCAGTGACTGTTTTTGTTGTTGTTGTTGTTTCTTTTCTTTTCTTTTTTTGTGCAATTTTTGTGTCATTATCATTATGTAGTTATGTTAAAAATATTTTTAATATTTATTTTATATTTAATATACGCTATTTTCTGTCTACTTTGTCTAACATTTTAATTAAACAAATGGCTTTCATAATGTCTAAAATAAAAAGAGACATCTTGAAAAAAGGAAATGCAATGAATGCCACTTTTGGTGAGAAAGCCGAGATTCAGTGGCTGGTTTTTTTTTGGTTTTTTGGGGGTGATGTTAATGGCACACAAATTTCACACATTAGCTTGTCATTAAGTTGACAGCAGACATATTAAAAGGTTTTTTTTTATACTTTTTCAGATAAAAATGAAAAAAATACAGAACATTTTAATTGGACAAATGGCTTTTATAATATCCAAAATAAAAAGAGGCATCTCAAAGAAAAGAAATGCATTAAAAGTCAGTATTGATGAGAACGCCGCTTGCTGAGATTCAGTGGCGGAGCGCTGGGCTTTCCTGCCCTTTCTGCCGAGGCACTGCCCTTGTGAGTGTTTTTGCTGGCCGCTGCAGGACCGGTAATCATTGGGCAATGAATGAGGAAAATAGAGCTGCAGGCGTTTGTGGGGTTGTGACCTAGCCAATCACATGGGCCGATGCCCTCACAGTGGAAACCCTTTCCCAAAAGCAAAGCCCTAATAAACAATGCACGGGTCATAGCCCGTCAGAGCCACGCAAACGGGCTGCTTTCTGCCCACAGTACTCTCTGTATTTCTAGAAATATAGACACTGGCATGGAAGTAACTGGGAAGTGAGGGTGTGTGTGTGTGTTTGGGGATGAATGTATGTGATTTTCCACTGCCCCTCATGGCTGAAGTGGACATTAGGATGAAATGGCAGCCCCCAAGTGCTGCAGATTCTCAATGTGGGATGGCCTAATTTCGTTTTGCACAGCCCAAGGGGACCAGCATGCAGTGCAAGCATCCCGAAAGATAAATAGATGGTTGAATAATGTTCCGTCTCTCCCACGGCCAAGCTCTGCCCACACATTCCATTTTCAACATGTTTCCCGATAATGTTATCATTTGTTTTGCTGGCGGTTTGCAACACGTGCCATTCCCTCGGACACGATGCAGATGGATGCTCAGCAGATCTAGCACAGCACTTCTGTGTCAAACCATGCCTGTTCAATCTCTAAGTTAGGAATACATGGATTTTAATTTGCCTAAAACATTCTGTCCTTTAGCATAATACACATTTTTTTATATTTTAGTTTTAGTTTCAGTTTTAATTTTTAGTATATGAATTCAATTCATTTCATTTCCAGAGTTTGGGAGCCAAATGCGAAAAAGCTCTACCTACTTTACTTTAGTTTGAGTTTTGCGACCTTAGGGAGCGTGATGGATTGTAGCGTGGTAGAAGACTAGTTAGGTACGCAGGAGCTAACCCATTAAGGGCCTTATAGGCAAGTAATAATATTTTGTAACTGATACGGAACTTAATAGGTAGCCAGTGCAGAGACTGTAAAATTGGGGTAATATGATCATATTTTCTTGACCTGGTAAGGACTCTAGCCGCTGCATTTTGGAGTACCTGAATGAATGCATGAATGAATAAATGAATGAGTGAAGCTTTTATATAGAGCTTTATATAGTTGCAAATGATTGGCAACATACTTATCTATTAATAAAGATATAATTTCTACATTTTACTTTGATTTATAATATACATTACACTATTTATTTAGTTTTAGTTACAATTTTTAATTATGTGAATAAACAGTGATTTTCATATATTAATATAGTCATACTTTCTCTATTTCAGTATAATTTATATATTACACTATTAATTAATTAATTTAGTTTGTTTTACATTTTAGCATTTCAATAATGTTAAACAGTGAGTCTCAACCAGGGATAAATAAGTAATCTTGAAAAGAATTTTGATTTTGCTTTGCTAAACCTTTAAAGCAAAAAAAATGTGTAAATATTAGTGGTGTAAAATTATTAAAATAATTCAAAATATTTTTTTCTAATTAACAGCTTAACATATTCAGTCCCTATTTAAGGAAAGAAAGCCAAATTATATCTGTCAGTGTTGGTTTCAACCTCGTAATGAAAGATATGGACCTTCTGTTTTTGTCCCAATCAAATGTTCCAACCAATATCAAACTAAATACAATTATAAAATGACAGATTTTGTACTTTTCTGCTTCATTTTGAGCGACAGCTATTGGTGAAACTGTTTTTCACTCACAGAATTGGTCTTTAGTTTAAAAATGAATAATTCTAATAATGGCAATTAATGATAATGCTAAATAATATCCAGTATCCACATTATACTTCAATGCGGAAGTAAGCCTATGGGTGAGACTTCCGGTTCATTAGCCGCTATAGAGAAAAAAATGAGTAGAATAACAACGACAGTAGGGCTGCACGATTAATCGAAATTAAATCGCTAAGGCGATAAATCGCGATTAGGCAGAAGAAATCCTTATTGCGGTTGCTGAATAAACAGAAGATTTAACTGCTTTCATAAATTCAACGTGACTAATAAACACACGACTACGGCAATATATGATTTATCTGAGTTCGTCTTATTATAATTTTTATTATAATAAAGTATATAATAATGCAATGCTAATCGACATAGCCTTTATCACTGCTTAGAATACTATGAAATGTGTTGCGTGCCTTATTCTGTGTAAGATTATGAATGCGATTTTGCATATCTTGTCAGTGAACTACGGCTCAGTGTAGTAAATGCTGCTCCATCTGAAAGCACGTGCTGGAGATTTACTACTAATCACAGAACCGGCTTTACTGACAAGATGCCCATGACAATCACATTCGATTAATCATGCAGCCCTAAACGACAGTAAAACGGTTTGCACTAAAAAACGTGTACATAATTAAGATAATACATTAAAATAATATGGTAAGACACACCAATTTGCAATATCAAGCAGAATAAATATAAGCCAAAAATAGCTGGATGCAAATGAGACCAGAAGCCAGACCCATACAACTTACAAATGCCCACTCTTACGTGAAAAATGCAATGGACAAAATGAGTTAAAAATAACATAATTCTTGTTTGGTGTCGATAAAGGGCTACCTGAGCTGGACCTATTGTGCTGTGGTAAAACACAAACAAATTTCATTTTATGCATGTTTGTTGCACATTAGCATTTTGTTTGTGGTTCTTTTCTCTTTGTATTGAATTTGACATTTGGATTAAATTTGATATAAGGAGTGAAGGCAAGGCAGAGGACTTCCCCGATGAAAGACGTATTTGAATAAAGTCTTTCTGCAGTAAAGGAAAGCAATGACTGCAGACGTTAACCAGAGCCGAATTTAAAGTAGATGCTGATAGACCAAATTTTCCAGTGCACTGAAGCCTTTTTGAAAGCCGTTCGTCTTATAAACCTGCTGTTGTTTTTCTAAAGATGGTTTCCCAACTACAAATGGCTTTTTGAGGAGATATTTTCTTCCTGTCCTTTTGTACTTTGAGTTCTCAAAAGCATGCCTGACTGAAAACGACTCTCAGAGTTTGTGGAAATATTATTCATACTTTTGATGTCAGCTTAAGCTGTCTCACCGTAGACATGAGAAGGACGGAGGATCAAGACTCACTTCAGACGATCTAATGACTGTTTTGTAGGATACCAGGTAGCTTACCGTCTGGATTCTGGGGATCCCAACCAGTTCATCACAGTAGAGGTGGGCCCTGATACCCGTCAGTTCACCGCCTCCAACTTGACCCCGGAGTCGGCCTACATCTTTCGCATCTCTGCCAAGACGGAGCAGGGCTGGGGAGCACCTGCACAGGCTGTGGTCATAACTACTGAGATTAGAGGTGATGCAAACACATACATAAATACACAACACCCATATTGCTTTAAAGGCAGGGTAGGTGATTTGGTTCAAAAAAATTTTTTTGTTATGCTGGTTGAAAGTCTCTTCATATCCTGATAGCAATCACTAAGTTAAGTGGTCTAAATGAAGCTAAATGAAAAGAATGAAAATGAGCGAGAATGAAAAGTGTTATTATTGTAAAAATATTCTCTTTGTACTGTAGTTTTCTCACTGGTGAATGAGACATGAGGTAATCTGACAGCATTGACACCATCTATCGTCGTGTTGCTGGTTAGCCTCTCGTCTGTCTGTGTGCGTTCATGTGTTTTGGGGGAGGCGTGGCTTTGGAGAGTGATTATGCAGGGAGGGTGGTATCTTATGCTTTCAAAGCTATCTTACTATTGCTAGCCTTTCCGAAATCGCCTACCCTACCTTTAAAGTCAGAATGAAATGAAAATTCACCTTGTTTATTTTCTGAATGCATGTTATTAAATTTATTGTAAAAGATTCATCCATGCACGGTGTAATTAAAATTTCATAACTAGATCTTCTGTTAAAACGCCAGACTTTTCTCTGGTGACATGTGCTGGACTTCTCCAATCATTCTGTCTGCTTAAACCCGGTCCCTTTTTAACAACTGACTTGCAAGTTCACATTCAGATCTGCCTTCATCAACAACTAATGGATTGAACCAAGTCCAACATTAATTTATTTTTTATTTTTTATGCCACAAATCGGAAGAAAAGATCTGTTGCTAACATCGTGACTTTAAACACCATTTGATTTGAATATGTGAGACATGATCCTGGATCAGTATTCATATCATACGATCCAAATCCTTACCCCAACTTTAAAATTATAGGCAGTGAAGCAAGTCCTGCTTCTAAAAAGATCATGCATATATTTTAAAATTATATTTAAAAAATAATATTGTCTTCATTTGAAATTACTTTTCAACACATCATCAAGAACAGAAAATAATGTTAGATATTGTTTCTACAATTTTCCCAATGGTTTACACAGTACGTTAGTGCCGGTTAAAGGTGCACTAAGCGATTTTTTTGCCAAACAATATTGATATTTGAAAGCACCAAAACAAACACGCCCATACCCCAACAGGACCTCGCCCCTGATATCTCCACCGCACACGTACGTACGCAACCATGGCAACGACGATCGCGGAAATAAGCGAAGATGAAACACAAGCATATTCAAACAAAAGCCAACACGGATAAGTTGTGTGAAACTAAGCAAAATCAACGTTACTCACCTATCAAGAAAAAAAAACAACGCAACCTCGGCGTCCGATTCGAGCCCTTCCCGCTCCTTGAGTTTCTCTCCACTGCTGGAAAGCTGCTCCGATATTTAAGCGGGTCCTACCTCTTGCCTGATCGTAACCCTTCTTTTTAATATTTTGTTTCTCTGATATTTTCCTCTTTTTTTATCTGCCATCTCTCTCTATCTATAGTCGATCTGCTAATATCCGTCCTCTCTTCTCTCTATCATTGCAAGACACGCCCCTTTACTGCTGATTGACTACAAGTGTGTTTTGGGACTCAGTCCGACGCTGTGGTCAAAAGCATTTTTCAAAAATCGCTTAGTGCAGCTTTAATGTTAACATCATAAAAGTTTGTCAATAATAGCACAAATAGATTTGTAACAGAAGCATTACTATTGGGCAGAGGCGGACAGTAACTAAGTACATTTACTTGAGTATTGTACTTAAGTACACGTTTTGAGTATCTGTACTTTACTTGAGTATTATTTTTTTCTGGGAACTTATGACTTTAACTTCAACTATTGTACTTTTCACTCCACTACATTTCTATCAGGGTCCTCGAAGTAGAAAGTCGTTACTATG